AAGAAGGCAAGGGACCTGCTGTCGTGCACATACAACAACCTCGAAGAGGCCTTGGCAAAGGCCAAGGCTTCGTCCTACTGCAGTGCCGCCTCGCAGAAGGATGCCAAAAAAGCTTTGGCAGACCTGGACGGGCTGCTGCAGAAGACGAAGGGGGTGGTGTCCTCGAAGAGAGCCTGCAAGAAGGAGGTGGTGGTGAGCCTCCTTCAGCAGGCGGCGGCCACGGTGAACCAGGCGAAAGACCTGGGGAAGGAACTCCTGGCGATGGCTGCCAAAACACCCAGCAAGTCCTCGAAGCTGAAGTAATCAGCTCGGGCACAGTGGCATCCCTAGAAACAGGGTGTAAGACCACTGCCAGTGCTCTCGAAACAGAGCACAGCACTCCTTTGCTCTCGAAACAGAGCAGGACAGCCGTTGCTCTCGAAACAGAGCACAACCGTCCTCGACAAAGTTTTTTTTCGTGTCACAGCTTCGGCTTGTAGACCGAGCCTGCCAACAGGCTGGCGACAGACCGGACTGCACTGCTGCAGCTCTGCCAAAAAGAAAGGGTTCTTGTGAGCAGTGTTTTGGGTTCTAGGTCCTTAAACCCAGAAGCCCCAAGCCCAAGCCGAACCCTCAATAACCTTACGCAGTGCCCCAAGGCCCAAGCCTCACCTCAAGGAACTTGCTTGGCAGCAGAACCTCTTCGCTGCCGTTTTGGCTTGAAATCATAGCGAAGCTAGAGCCATGGCCGGCCGTGAGCGAGGCCAGCCAGCCAAGAGGCTCAGAGGCCATGCCCTGGACTTGGCAAGGGGCACGGCCGAGCAAAAGGAAAGGGTTGAAAGAGGAGAAAGCTCCCTCGCAACAGGGTTGCTGTCCTTGTGGGCTCATGGGAACATAGCAGCCACGACCATGTGTTGGTTGGCCCTCCTCGCCACACTGGACGGGGTGGAGCACGAGGAAGTTGTAGCCTTGGCCAAGGCTGGCAACTTCGGGCAAGTTCCCGGCAACTGTGCCAGGGACGTGACGAGAAGGTTTTGCAGTGCTAGCCGTGTGCCAGAGCCTCTGCAGGTGCCCATCCCGGTCTTGGACCCTAAAACAAACAAGGACTCGACTGAAGATGCCGGAATCATGTTGCCACACATGGTCTTCAGTACCCTCGCAACAGGGTACCCGGCAATCTTCGAGTCTTTGGGCTTGGACAAGCTCGAAGCTTTTTGGAACAGTGCCCTCGCAACAGGGGACGACCGACTGGAGAATGTACCTGCCCTCAAAGGCAGGGACTGGAAGAGGAAGGTCGTCCCGCTGTTCGTTCACGGGGACGGTGTGGAGTACCAGACCAGGGACAGCCTTATGGTGTGGTCTTTCGGAAGTCTTCTGAGTCTTTTCTCCGATAGTCTGATGAAGCACTTCCTCATGGCAATGTTCCCTAAAATAGCGACCTCAGCGAGCACCTGGCCTGGAATCATGAAATGGCTAGTCTGGAGCTTCGATGCCCTCGCCAAAGGGTACCACCCCAAAAAAGGGCCTGAGAACGAACCCTTGAAAAAGGGTTCGGTGTTCGAGAAACTGAAAGGCCAACCGCTCACTCCTGGCCATCACAAAGGCATCATTTGGTCCCTGCAAGGGGACCACGACTTTTTCAGCAATGTAGTGGGACTGCCACACTGGCAGTCCCACTACCCGTGCTGGGAGTGTGATGCTTCCTTGAAAGAGGAAGCAGCACGACATGGCAAATGGGTCAAAGAAATCGAGCAGGACAAGCAAAACTTCGTTCGTGTCACCTCGAAGCAGGCAGCACGGCACCCGAGGTCTGCCCATCCTCTCTTCACCCTGGACGGTGTGACCACTCGCCTTGTAAGAGGCGACGGGCTCCACATTATGTTCACGAAAGGCATATATGCCCACCTGTTGGGCTCGGTGTTACATTTTTTCTGTTGGTGGGACGAGCCCGGCCACGTGCAGAAAAAAACGCCGGCCGAGAGGCTCGGGCTTTTGTGGGCAGCAATTCAAAGGGAATACACGGCTCTGCGAGTAGAAACCCGTGTAACCAATTTGAGATTGAGTATGTTCACCAATCCAAAAACGCCATGGGCTGTCACTCCTTTCTTGGAGTGTAAGGGTGCCGAGAACAAACACTTGCTGAAGCCACTCGCAACAGTGGCTAGGAAGCTGCTCGACACGACCGAGCCTGTGCAATGCTCTATGCTGTCCGCCTTGGAGTGCATGTCGGACCTCGTCGAAGTCTTCGATGAGGCCGACATGTTCCTTGCAGACAATGAGTTTCGCAAGGCAGAAAGCCTCGCAAAAGGCTTTCTCGACAGCTACAGCTTCCTGAACCAGTGGTCCCTTGAAAAAGGGTACCCTGGATTCAGGATTGTAATGAAGCACCATACGTTTCAACACCTGGTAGAAAACTCACGTTTTCTCAACCCACGTGCTCATTGGTGCTTCGCTTCGGAAGATTTTGTGGGCCGAGTCAGTCGCCTGGCAAAGTCTGCGGCTTCCGGGGTTCGCTCCACACGGCTCAGTGTCAAAAGCATGCACAAGTATAGAATTCTTATGCACTTGCTTATGACCCGCCCATCCATACACGATGTGGTGCCGGAGCTAGATGGCATGGCCGATGAGTTCTAGCCACAGGGAGCGGCTGTAGCAGCCTTGCCTCTCGAAACAGGGTGCAAGCTTGGCAACCCTGGAAACAGGGTTGCCATGCCCCTCGAAAGAGGGTGCAAGCTTCCAGATCCTGGAAACAGGGTTGCCTTGCCTCTCGAAAAAGGGTGCAACCTTACGAAGACCCTAACAACATGGGCCCTAAACCCTCTCCAGCCTCAAGACCCTAGAAACAGGGCTGCTTGCCCTCTCCTCAACCCCAGAAACAGGGCTGCTTTCCCTCTGCAGCTTCAAGACCCTAGAAACAGGGTTAGCAGACGTTTCACCCTGCATGTTTCACCCCATGAGTGGCAGGATTGCAGGTGCTCCTTGTGCAAAAAAGGTCTCAGCCCGGACTGTAAGGCCCCCATAAAGATTGATTTGAAGATTGATTTTGGAGTAAATTTCTATTGATTTAAATATTGATTTTACGCTTCCAGATTTCATTTTAACCTATTGATATGAAACATAGCGAGAATCAAGTTTTATAATTGATTTCCTTCGAAATCAATTCGGCTCAGCCCCGATTGATCCTAATCAATAGCGGATGCTCAGGGTATTACAACTGCGCTTTTTAAGCCTAGCTTAACCCTGCACGAGTTAATTGTCGGCGAATATCACGTGCCGCCCTATCCTAAACCTTAGTCTACACACTCAAATCTACAGTCTATGTCACCCTACCGCACACCCTACTCTTCAAAGCTACACGTTTAGTTAGCGGCGAATGTATCGTGCCCTTTACACCCTATCCTCCTACACTTAAAAAACCTGCACTTAAAACCTACTCGAAACCTACAGTCTAGTCACCCTATTTAAATTTAAGTTTAGCTAGTTAGCGGCAAATGTCACGTGCCGCCTTACCCTACACAAGCTATCCTCCTACACGTAAAAACCGACGCTTAACACCTACAGTCTAGTCACCCTATTTGAGTTTAGCTAATTAGCGGCGAATGTCACGTGCCGCCCTACCCTACACACGCTATCCTCCTACACGTAAAAAACCTACACTTAACACCTACAGTCTAGTCACCCTATTTAAGTCTAGCTAATTAGCGGCGAATGTCACGTGCCGCCCTACCCTACACACGCTATCCTCCTACCCGTAAAAACCTATACTTAACACCTACAGTCTAGTCACCCTATTTAAGTTTAGCTAATTAGCGGCGAATGTCACGTGCCGCCCTAACCTACACACGCTATCCTCCTACCCGTAAAAACCTATACTTAACACCTACAGTCTAGTCACCCTATTTAAGTTTAGCTAATTAGCGGCGAATGTCACGTGCCGCCCTAACCTACACACGCTATCCTCCTACACGTAGAAAAGCTACACTTAAACTTAACACCTACAGTCTAGTCACCCTATTCAAGTTTAGTTAGCGGCGAATGTCACGTGCCGCCCTACCCTGTCATATATCCTATCCGGCTACTCTTCAAAACTCTACACTTAAAGATTACCGGCGAGTCACCCTACGCCTACACGTAAAGCTCTACACTTAAAAACCACAGTCTAGTCACCCTACACTAGTTTGGATACCGGCGAATGTCACATGCCGTCGACACCTACACTTAAACTTCTACACTTAAAAACTACAGTTAGGGTTTAGGGTTTTAGGGCTTAGGGCTTAAAGTCCCGGTCCCGCCCCGGCCTCGTCGATCTTGAAGGCTGCTGCGCACTGCCGGCTATATCACCCTCTTTGATGGGAAGTTTAAGGCTTAATACTTAAGGGGGTCTGGATGATGATGATGATAAGAGATTTCACCCTGAGGTTTGGGATGGTTTGGGTGTTTCACGTGGAATCGGGATTTATGGGCTTGAAGGAGGGGGTTTCGGGCCTGAGTGAGCTACGGGGCCGCGCAACAAATCCCACCCAAAATTCAAAACCTTGCATCAACCCCTAAATATTGAACCTATTATCAGCCCGTCACTAAATAGTTCAAATCCACCCCAAATCCTGACTATGTAAACAGTTTCTACGACTTGTCGGAACAAAGGACTTAGCACAGGTCTGTTAAAGGGGGTTACAAGGGAACCTAAACCCTTAAAAAGGGAATAAGGGCCTACTCTGGGTCCTAGTGTAAATACCCCGAAGAATAAGGCCGAAGAGCTGAACATGAAATTGTATACGGCCCCTTGCAAGCACCCCATACAGTAAACCCCATAAGGTTGGAAACCGGATTAAGGCCAAATAGTGCTGGGATTCCCATTACATTAGTCTTGAGGATTGAGGCTATTATGTTTCCAATTTTTTGGCTTCGACTGTATAGTTACGGGCATTAATAAGTAGAGTAGGCCCAAAACTAGCAACAGAACAAGGAGCCCCAAAATAGTGGAAGCCATGACAGCCCCAAACCCCGAAACAAGTCTCCGCCTGCCATTCTGGCAGCTGCCGGGGAACTAGGTCGCCTCCGACGCAGGAGCCCCATTAGGATTCAGGGTTTGGGGTTTAGGGTTTAGGGTTCATGTTTCGTGGGTTCAGGGTTTAGTGTTTAAGGGTCAATGGTTTAGGGGTTCGGGGGTTTAGAGTTTAGGGTTTGGGGTTTAGGGTTTAGGGCTTTGGGTTTAGGGTTTACGGTTCGGCCTTCAGGGCTTGGGGTCAAAAGGTTTCTTTGGTTTAACTTTGTTGCTCTAGACTCCAAGGCGTTTAACTTAACAACCTGTTCGGTAGGATCCCTACGACAAGGACCTCAAAATAAGGTACCCCTAGTTTTCGGAAACTCTAAACCCCAAACCCGTTATAGAACCATTATAGATCCCTTCAAGGCGCCCTTAAAGGATCCCTTTTTAAGGAACCTCTACGGTTGATGATATAAATCCTGCATTACCCAGTAAGGAATATACCATAATTCCCGTAGTCTAGGGTCATTAAGGTAATCATCAACCGTATTTCGGAGTTTTCGAAGATAGGCGACCCTAATATAGTACCCTAAATAGTAGGATCTTCATTATAAGGTGCAGGATTTATATCATCGACCGTAGGTTTCGGAAACTCCGGTTTGGGCGTGTCCTGTAGTTGTCGGGGGTTTTGAAACTCGGATCGGAAGCTTCCGGGCCCCTACTTGGAGGGTCGGGGGACTTAGTAAGTAGGTAGTAAGTAGACTTATCAGTACCCTAAGAGGGACCCTAATTGGGGTTATGGTACTTATAAGTCCCTAAAATAACTACTTACTAAGTCCCCCGACCCTCCAAGTAGACCCTACTTAAGCTTAAACCCTAATTAAGCCTCTAATTCACCCTAAACCCCAATGAACCCGACACCCCTAATTAAGCCTAAGCCCCAAATCTCCCTAAACCCTACTTAACCCTAAACCCTAAACTCTGTCATATGCCTAGAGAGCCCGATACCCCTTAATTAAGGAATAGGGTTTAGGGTTTAGGGTAGCTTACATCATACTATGAAGCCCTGTATAAGTTCAGCCATATTCCTTAATTACGGGGTATTGGGCTCTCTGGGTAGATCTTAAACCCTATGTAATCCTAGGGTTAAAGTTTAGGAGCTTACGGTCTAGGGGTTTCTTCTAGAGTGCAAACCGAGGGGGTCCATAACTACAACACGATTGTGAAATTGGGTCCAACAGCCATAATGGGGATGGTCTTTTGGGAGTGTATGTGGACCCTTTGGGTTAGTGTGCTCAGGACGTTGCGGCTGTTTGGGCTGTTTAAGACTGTTGTGGTGTCAGGACTGGGAATTAATCGCTCTGGGCTTCCCCCTAAAGTCTTACTAAGGTTGAGGCTCAGATTGTAATGGTTTAGGGTTGACGTCTGAAAATCGAACCCGGCAGGCGAAAGCTCTACATCCCAAGACTCGGACTCCTGCAAACATCGCCCCAAAAGCTCAAGGAGCCCTTTATTTCAGGCCTAAAGTTTCTGATGCGCCACACCCTAAGGCTCAAAGTAGCCCAAAAGCCTTATAGAGTATGGTCTTTGGGCCCAAAAGCCTCAAAATATGAGTCCATAAAAAGCCTCAAAATATGAGTCCTTAGAGCCTTAGGGACAAAGCATAGAAAACCCTACATAAACCCTTGGGGAGCGAAGCTGCGGCCATGCCCGGGCCTCTAATGTAGGAACCTGATTAAGAAACCTTGGGCCTTTCTTCGGGCTCTTTATGTGAATCCTACTATTTTGGGTTATAGACCCAGGGTTGATTTCGGGCTCTTTATATGAATCCTACTATTTTGGGGTTATAGACCCAGGCTTGATTAATCAGGTTCCTACATTAGCAGGGCTTCTCCCACTGGCAGCTGGCTTTCTCTCTGGCGCATACCCAAGGGTCCAAAGGACCCAATAATTAAGTACTCGGTTTTAGGATAGTAGTTATGTAGTCTAGGATTTTGGAGATTATATGATTATTGGACACTTGGGCCCTTGGGCATAAGCCGTATCCACGTCACGATGGCTGGTCTGCGCGAGGCGCGAGAGGATCTTGTACTCAGAGAGCCCAATACCCCTTAATTAAGGAACATGGCTTAAATTATATAGGGCTTCCTATTACCATTAAAGCTATATCCCTTAATTAAGGGGTAGTGGGCGCTCTGGGCTTGTAGTCGGAGAGGTTCTGGAGAGCATCGGCCTCCACGCAGCCTTGGCGACTGCCTGGGAGATTTCGATGCTGTCCTTTCTTCCCAGAGACTCCTATACCCCTTAATTAAGGAATATACCTTTTTTAAGGAATATCCCTTAATTAAGGCATAGCCCTTAAACTATAGTAGGATCCCTAATATGATTTGAGGAATATCCCTTAATTAAGGAATATGCCTTAAATTATAGTAGGATCCCTATTATGATTTAAGGCATATTCCTTACTTAAGGGATATTGGAGTCTCTTGGTTCTTCGGGAGCGTCGGTTGCGACACCACCTTTCGAGTGTGGTGTGCTTATGCCTGCTGGGAGATTCCTAGGCTGCGCCGACACTCTAAACCCCTAAACCCTAAACCCTAAACCCTAAACCCCTAAACCCCTAAACCCCAAAACCTTAACCCTAAACCCTAAACCCCTAAACCCTAAACCCCTAAACCCCTAAACCACTAAACCCTAAACCCTAAACCCCTAAACCCTAAACGCCTAAACCCTAAACCCCTAAACCCTAAAACCTTAATAAGGGAGTTTGGGAGTCTCAACCTTCAGGGAACCAGTGATGCTTTAAGGAACCCCTTGGAAGGAACTTCAAATGCACCTTAGAAGGGGCCCCCCACCCTGTAATAGTGACTATAAGGATTATATTAGGGCCCTATTATATTCCTATTATACCACTATTACACGGTTTGGGCCCCTTCTAAAATGCACCTTAAATGCTTTAAGCTTGCTCAATAGCCTAAGCAAGCAACAAGGACCCTGCAGGGATTCAGACAGTTTTGGGCTGCAGAAGGGTTGCTATAAGGGCTGTCATAAGAGCGTTAAGAGGGGGTCTTTGGCTTCACAATACTACTGAACTGCACAGATTCCGAAACGTCTCAAACAACAGAAGAACCCCTGTAACATCTTGCAGGGTCCTTCCAAAAATCTTATAAAATTCACAACAAGGAATCCTACAAAACTCGCACACACAAGACTCACTACACACATCCTGGCTGCCCCCTACATAAAACCTAAACTCTAAGCCCCGAACCCCCAAACTGAACCCTATACCGAAAACCCTGAACCCGTAACCCTAAACCCTATACTTGGAGGATCGGGGGACTTAGTAAGTAGGTAGTAAGTAGACTTAGAAGTACCCTAAAAGGGACCCTAATTGGGGTCATGGTACTTATAAGTCCCTAAAATAGCTACTTACTAAGTCCCCCGACCCTCCAAGTCATGACCCAAAACCCCAAACCCCAAACCCCAAACCCTAACCCCTAAACCCTTAACCCCTAAAACCCCTGAACAGTGACCCAAAACCCCAAACCCCAAACCCTAAACCCTAGACCCTAAACCCCTAAACCCTTAACCCCTAAAACCCCTAAACAGTGACCCAAAACCCCAAACCCTTAACCCACCCAAAGACTCCAATATCCCTTAATTAAGGAATATACCTTAAATTATAGTAGGATCCCTAGCATGATTTAAGGAATATTCCTTAATTAAGGGGTTTTGGCGTCTCTGGGAACCCACTGTCTGCTGCCTGGCCTGGAAGCCGAGTCTCCTCGAGGGCTGTCCAGTGCCGAGGCACCCGCGTGCCTGCTGCGTTAAGGCTTCTACTTAGAGGCCCAGGGGACTTAGTAAGTAGTAAGGTTCCAAAAAGGGCTCCTCAAACGGGATCTATAAGGTTCTAAAAGGGATCTGTAAGTCTGTAAGGGTTCTATAAGGGGGATTAGGGTGTATTTGGAGGCCCAGGGGACTTAGTAAGTAGGTTATAAGTAAGATTATAAGTACCCTAAATGGAGTTACCCCAGCTACGTTAAGGCTTCTGGGGTTTGGGGTTTAGGGGGTTTAGCGTTTAAGGTTTGGGTTTGGGGATTATACGGTTTAGGGGCTTAGGGTTAAGGCTTCTAGAGTTTGGGGTTTAGGGGGTTTAGCGTTTAGGGTTATGGGCTTGGGGATTTTAGGGTTTAGGGTTTAGGCGCGAGGGTTAAGGGTTTATATAGGGGTTTGGGGGTTTAGGGTTTAGGGTTTGAGGTTTGGGGTTTGGGGATTATATGCTTTAGGGGTTAGGAGTTTAGGGTTTGGGGTCGGGTTTGGGGATTATAGGATTTAAGGGTTATGGGTTTAGGTGTTTAGACGCGAGGGTTAAGGGTTTAGGAGTTTAGGGGTTTAGGGTTTGGGGCTTATAGGATTTAGGAGTTAGGGGTTTAGGGGTTACCTGTTTAGGGGTTTAGGGCTTAAGGGTTTAGGGGGTTAGGATTCAGGGTTTAGGAGTTTTAGGGGTTTGGTGCTTAGGGGCTTAGGGTTTAGGGTTTGGGGTTTACAGAGTGTACTTACAAGCCCAGGGAGCGTCGTAAATGGGTTGGATGTAGACTTACAAGGCTTGGAACTGAATGAGTCCTTAGAATCCAAGGGTAAAAGGAGGGACCCCTAATGAGGACCCCGAGGTATATATACATTCTATGGTCCTTTATAGGGTAGGGGTCCCCATTAGGGGTCTCTCCTGTTCCCCTTTGATAGAAAGGTGCCTCCAAACAAGCTAGTGGTTGGGGGGGGAGGCTTCAAAGTCCGGCTCAGGGCTGCAGAGTTGGGGCTTCGACAGCATTCGCAAAAAGGGTTTCGGATTTAGGGTTAGGCTGTATCAGAGTCTTTACATGAACGCCACAATCGTGCTGACAACCAGTTGCTTGGGGGAGCTCTTTCCCATCTTTCCTGCAAACCTCCCAATATTGGTAACACTCAAGGACTTTGGAATTTCGAAACCCTCAGCCCTACTCCCCAAATACCCAAAATTCTAAACTCGCAACCTAAACCCTGCACGAAGTCCCTAAACCCGGATCGCCTTAAGCCCCAAACACCCTTGCACTTAAGCCCCAAAACCCGCAAAGCCGTTAAGAACTCATCCTCATCCCGCTTCTTCTCAGCAACACCGGCTATGGACTTCACAAGCCCCCCCACAAGCCAAGGAAAGTTCGAGAGGCTTCTACCTGGGTCGGAGTGAAACTGATACACGTGTACACTCAGGGGGAAAAGCAGGGACCCTTAATGGGGACCCCTACCCTATAATGGGCTATATATATATATATATATATATATATATATATCATATATATATATATATATATATATAATATATATGTACATATATATATATATATCATATATATATATATATATATATATATATATCATATATATATGTATATATATAATGGGTATGTAATAGCCATATCAAGGGTATATACCAGGGGGCCCTTATGTATACCCAGGGGTCCTTATTAAGGGTCCCTCCTTTTACCCTTGACCCTTTCTGCCGTGGCTCGTATGATAACGGCCACTATGTGCTTTGCCGCCACTGTGCCTTCGATCCCGGTCGTAATGTACACGTTGTTCTTGCTGCGGAATATCCTGCATCCCTGTAGCAATGCAGTACTGGCCTGTTTTCGGAAACTTGCACATCGCGCCAAGTTGTTCTCCCAGGCCTTGAACCTTCCCTCGTCGGGCACCTCCCAGCGGATCATCGGGGAATTCTTGCCCGCCACCTGGGTGTCCAGGAACAGCGTCGGCTGCTATCAAGTCGCAAAGAAACCGATTTCCATCCCAGCAAGCTAAGAAGCGCCCACAATGAAAATAAGAAACTTGGGGGATTGGAAGCATCAAAGCGTGGAATAGAAGGCCCCTGGGGTTCGCCTTGATGTACGGGCCCCTGATTTCTACATTATCACGCGTAGGACTAATCTGCAATCATGAATATTTAAAGCCAGTCAACTCAAGCATTACGAGCATCTGTGGCTGATGCATTTGAGGGCCATTCCGTTCATAATTTGACCAGCAGCCCCTGATTTCTCTTAAGTCTATCACCGCAGCCCTATACCCTAAACCCTACACCCAAAAAGTACCTTAAACCATGAGTACTACACCCCAAACTATACCCTCTACTCAAAACCCTAAACCCAGACTGCAGTCAAGCCTGCATGAGCAGATCTTGGCCGACTACCTCAGTTGAAAGCCCTCCACTCGGAAGATGGTATCGTGAATAAGGCTTGTGGCTTGGTGTTGAAGGGTTTAGGGTTTCGGGGCGAGGGGCTTGGGGTTTGTGGGTTGAAAGTTGTTTGAGCTTAGGTGTTTAGGTGCTTGGGGGTTTACGGTTAAGAGTTAAGAGTTATGGTTCTCGAATGCGTGCCATACTCATAAAGCCAACAGGACATGGCTCCGGAAAACGGACCTGACATACTGCCAAACTTGAGCTAGGAGAGGTTAGCTTTTTAGTCGAGGTGGGAGCCTATACAGGTTCAGAGTCTCAGGCGGTTTAAGGTGAAGGGTGGAGGGGTTTAGGATTTAGGGTTTAGGGTTTACGGTTGAGGGTGCCTCCCCAACCTCCATCGGAGAATCGCTGCTGGATCCCGCGCCAGCCGCCATAGCCTCCGCCCCTGCTTTGCTCAGCTTTGGTCCCGCTAGAGCGGTCGGCATACGGATGGGCGAAGGTGGCGCCGTCGGTGCCGCCTCCGAGCCAATCTCGGAGAAGTAAAAGCTGGTCTTCGGGTCCTCCGCTGGTCCAGGCTCCGCAGTAAGGAATATACCTTAAATTATAGTAGGATCCCTAATATGATTTAGGGAATATTCCTTCATTAAGGGGTATTGGAATCTCTGGGTTCCTCCCGTGCAGCTGGCGGCGTTGCAGGCGAAGCGGCCTTCGGGGATGCCTGGAGCCCCCCATGGGTCCCCAGAGCCTCCAAAACCCCTTAATTAATTAAGGAATATGCCTTAAATCATATTAAGGCTCCTATTATAGTTTAAGGTATATTCCTTAATTAAGGGGTATTGGAGTCTCTCGGTCCGGGGATGAATTCCGCGACCGAATCTCCTCGATCACACCCGAAGTGGGATTTTTCCTCAAGTTCGGTTTATTACATACTGGCTACGCCTTCATCTTTGGCTGTAGGAACCCCAGCATGTAAAAGTGACCTATGCAACCCACAAACCGTGAAACCGAAAGCTCAAAGCCATGCATCAGTGCAAGAGCTTAGGGCTTAGGCTTGAAAACCTAGGGTCTACGGTGTAGGATCGCATCAGGCGGCTTAAACCCAACTTCGTGACTCGTTGATGGTTTGAAGCACTCAGCCTTTCGCCAGTGCAACAAAAATAGGGACAGGGTCTTTGCGGACGGAGCCTTGGAGATTAAATTTTCGATTACAACACAAGATTGGCTTTGGCATCGTACCAAGACCATCGCCACAAGTGATCACCACCAACATCAATATCACCATCATCCTGTAAACATTATCATAAGCAGCCTAGTCCCTAAATCCCAAACACGACCTACAGCAAAGTTCGTGACTCTTCAGCGAAGGTGTGACAGTTTAGGGTGTAGCCTTTCTATCAACGTTTTAGGAACCACGAGAATGCCAGGGCTCCCGGCGAACGCCTGGGTTCGATCGTGCTCGCTGCACAGTCCTTGGCTCGCACCCCTAGATTCTTAGTCTGTTCGGATGTAGGATCTCTTGGCTGACCCCTGAGCCCCTGCAAAAAGTTAAACTTTTAGCCTCCTTGTTATTATAGCGCATATAGAAACCCAAAAAATTAAAGTCCTAAGAGTCAACCAGAAGAACGGCAAGATCTTCAACTTGTTTGGATATGCATTGCTGTCTTAGGGATAACCACTCTTTACACATCAAGTTTTTGTCGTATGAACGTACCGAAAACCGGAGGTACAGAAACCATTCAAAGTTAAGGGGATGACTCGTTGATAAAGCAGTAGATGCTTTGGATTGCAAAACGGTCTCGATGCTGTTTCGGCGAATTTGTATATGAAATAATTAGGGGACATTGTGCTATCTAGGTATGGGTAGCCACTTGTCACTAAACTGCTTTCCTGAAAAGGGTTTCGGGCACCATAAGCCGTAACAGCATAACGTTGAACCCGTAGCCCCCGCATCCTGATTCTTGCACCCTAAGCACTAAACCCTTAAGGATCACTCCAACTCCAGGTGAGTATATGACCTCGACGACCACCTCCTTCCTAATATCCTAACTTCTCCTGAGCCTTCAACCCATAGGGCATCCTTCTGCCCCCCTTTGTTATTCAGGCTTAGTACAGACCCAGACCCGGGATTCCTTAACCATACATAAGCCACAACTTTCAAAATTGATGTAAGGAAATCAGAAACATCACACCCAGGGCCTTGTGTTGCGGAAAAGGAGCGGCTGCTTTCGGTAAACCACCTGGAGCAAAGACCTACGGGTTAATTGCTGTAAGGATTACCACTAAAGGAACTACCCGCAAGGGGATGCGACGAGAGCATCGGGTTTTAGGGCAATGGGGTTCTGCAAGATCTTTGTAGTGTCTAAGACTATTTGGAGGTATAGGTGTGCATGAAATGATCTACTGGACTTTGAAGTGACCAGGGGTAAACGAGTATAGGCCTTCATGTTTAAGGAGGTTCTTTTAAGGAACAAGTACCAAGAAAGGTATGCAAGTATGCTGCTCCAAACCCAGGTCTAACTTAGGTCGAACTGTGCGTGCGTAGCTTTGATTACTTCCCTGAAGACTCCAAACTCATTCTTGAAGGAATACTCTTGAGATTATCGCAGAGATTTGAAAACAGAAGCTCTGAAGTGAGGCATGATGAAGTCGCTGGACCCGCAGCCCGAAAAAGCTCTAAACCCTAAACCCTTTTACAGAACCAAAGCCCTACCCTAAACCCTAAACCCCTAAACCCTAAAGCCTAAACCCTAAAAGATATGCCAATGGGCCGGCGGCGGCTCTCGCCACACCGAATCTCGCCACTGCTCTCCGTACAATCCTGCCTCCTGCACTAGTTCATGGTTGAAATAGGATTTAGGGTTTAGGTTTTAGGGGTTTAGGGGTGTAGGGTTTAGGGTTTAGGGGTTTAGGGGTTTAGGTTTAGGGGTTTAGGGTTTAGGGTCATGGTTGGGATTGGATTAAAAATGTCATTTTTTGTTCCTTATTGGGTTCAAGTACCCATAAAATGTGTAAAATGTTACCCAACTATGACAAAGTTACGGCGTGCCTTCCAACGTTGAGCTGCTACTGCCCGGTCTAGTTACTTAGTTTTTTGCAGGGCCTGTCTGCAGTGGGCTTGAGTTGAGAACTAGTTTAGGTTGATTAGTTTAGGTTGCGGCTTATGTCGAGAACTAACCTTATAGTACCCTTATAGCAATCCTCATAGATCCCTCCAAAGATCACCAAACAGGGACCCTAGTTTGACCAGATTAAAATCCTTGCAACAGGGCGCAGGGTCCCTGCAAAATCAAGCCTCTGGCCCATTTGGGAGCTTCCGAGAATAGGGGACACTAATATAGTACCCTAAGTAGGATCCGTATTATAAGGACCCCAAAATAAGGTCCCCTAATTTCCGGAAACTTCCATTTAAATCCCTGCTCCAAAACCAAAGCCTGTGGCATCCTCCAGTTGTCAGAACTACTGGCTCAGGAAGATCCCACAAAACCCTCAACCCTAAATGCTAAACCCTAAGCCGAATCTGGATGGAGCACATCAAAATAGATCACCAAAAGAATGCACTAATGAGTAGTTTTCCAAAATTAGGGTCCCCTTTTCGGAAGAGTGCCGTGCTTTTTGGGCCTACTGTAGAGAACCACCCACCTCCATGCACTCATGTGTGTGTATATATATAATATATGTTAGTTGATATGTACCTATACTTACACATCTATATAATATGCTTGTTTGCTGATCTGTTTATAGAACCTTGCAGTCTTATAGAAGCCTTGTAACATCCTTGTAGGGCACTCTTACACTAAGCCCTGAAACAAAGACCCTAGACCTTCCCCACCCCCACGCATTCAAAATACAAAGGCCACATACCCTAAACCTCAAGCCCTAAATCCCAAATACCTGAAATACCCTACTTCCTTATCCCTACCATACCCTTGCGGAGCCCTTGGAAAAGGAACCCGTTCAAGAACCCTGGGCCCTAGGCCCCAAACCCCAGGCCCTAAACTCTGAGCCCTAAGCCTTGAGCCCTAAGCTCTAACCTTGGACTCTAAGCCCTAAAGCCTACACTCTAAGCCCTAAACCCTAAACTATAAGGCTCTAAGCCCTCAGCCCTGAGCTCTAAGCCCTAGACTCTAGACTCGAAGCTTTAATTAAGCCCTAAGCCCTGAGGTTTAAGCCCTGAACCCTAAACTCGAAGCCTTCTAAGCCCAGAACCCTAAGCTTTAATGAAGCCCTAAACCCTAAACCCTGAGCCCTAAAGCCTAAGCTTTAATCAAGCCCTAAACCCTGAATTCTAAGCCCTAAACCCCACGCTTTAGTTAATCGCCCTAAACCCTAAACTCTAAGCCCGAAACCCTAAGCTTAAGCCCTAAGCCCTGAACTCTAAGCCCTAAACCCTAAGCGAGAATTAAGGGCGTTCTGGCTCGCATCGCGTAGTTTCCCCCGGGTCCGCGTTGCGCTGCCTCAACCCTAGTGTGGACTTGTTCCCACGTGCGGGCTTTCTGCTGTACCTGGACTGGAGGCAGTTAGCCAACATTCCCCGCTGCGTGCGGCTGGAATATCTGCGAGGCAGATACGAGGTGGATGCGCATTTCCTTCCACCAATTTTTGATCTTCTTTAGCTTCCTCGGCTTCTACCACGCCGCGTCCGACTTTTTCCCAAGCTCGCCGAGCCAGGCTACAGAGAAAGAGAAGAACTCGGGCCAGAGGAGTTCTTCGGTCCTTTGTGGAGGGCTTAGACACGCCTCGATTGCAGGTGCAACAGGCGTTGACGGCCCTAGCTGGACACCACAGCAATCCGACGATTGCAACGCAAGCGGCAGCCAAACTGGCAGGACAGATGGCTACTCCGTGGCGATGTGGACCATGCGGCCTCACCAACAAAGCTTCTTCAATGTTTTGCCCGGGGTGTGGCAAGCATTGGAAGAAGCTTAGTGGCAACCAACAGGCCCCTTATATTGGCGACACTTGGGGTGGCGGATGGCAGCAACCCAGCAGGCGAACCGCTCAGGATACCTGGCAGCAACCGCCGTCACCGCGAAGTCGAAGACCGAAATCGCCTCGAGGCAAAGGCCAGGGCAAAGCCAAAGGCAAGCAAGATGGCAAAGGCAAGCCCGACAAGGGGACTATCCCAGCCACGGCTCGCCCAAGCATCGATCAACTGCCCAAAGCCCCGCAGCTGCCGGCGGTACCCACGCCCAAGACGGGGACAGGACCGACTGGCAGCCTCGAGGACAGAAAGCTCAATGCCTTCCTGGACCAGCTCTCCAAGCAGGAGGATCTTCCTCAATCAGTGCTCGACCTGATGTCAAAGGCGAACGGCACTTCGGTACAGGAAGAGACCCGGGTGCTTCACAAGCTTGTGAAGCAACGATCGACGGCTTCCACGACCTTGGCTCAACTGCAGAAGGATCGGGCTTCTTTCGAGGCGTCGTGGGCTTCGTACAGCGAGAGCCTACAAAAGCTGTTGACCGAGCAATTCCAGACCCGACAGGAAACCCTGGAAAAACTGGACAAGGCACAACTGGAGTGGCAGGAGCAACTCCGGGTTGTTTCCAGCCAGATCAAGCAAGCCACAACCGACAGTGGCGAGGTCCAGGCCATTGGAAGCTCCGACTCGGACGAGATGGACGAAGAGGTGGAGGATGCAGAGACCTGTGCCGCGAGACAGGAACAGAAGCGGCAGCAAGTGGCTGGCCAACATGCTCAGATTCTGGATGCACTACAAAAGGTCCAGCAATCAGCGAACGAAGGTGCAGGCAAGCGCGAAGGGTCGCGCACACCGCGCCGGAAGAAAGACAAACCAGGCCAGCTCACAGATACAGCTGGCCCAGCCGATGGCAAAACTGGCGAACAGCAGCCTTTTTGCTAGGCTCGTATACGTGCCTCAGTGATGTATGCGAGCCGTTCCTTGCGGAAAGGACCCACAGCGTCCAGCGGGAAACGGACTATGTGGACCTTCTCCATGCACAGTTTTACGCATGTTCGCTGACCCTGACGGTCAGCCAGCCAGAACGATACCCGGATCTTCCTGATCCACGCGTTGCACCCTGTGACCCTGTTGACGGCGACTGGGCTTGCATCGGGCAGTTGGAGATGCTTCCTTCCACCTTCCAAGTTCCTCCTTGCAACATGGCCACTGCAGGAGTTGAGCTTGATGCGGTGGGAGGCGGTAGGACCCTGTTCGATGCCAGCCCGACCGACCGTCACAAGAGGCCAGGAATCCTGAGAGCTACTTCTGTACATAGAGATGTACAGGATGTTAGGCTGTACAAGCAGGTCTCTTTCTTGGAGCGCCCGCAGGTTGAGCATTTTGCCCCTGGCAGCAGACTCCCTCCTTATATCCCCGCCGGAGGTGTTCCTCCGAACGCTTCCAGAGTCGTTCCTCCCCAGCCTTTGCCACCCAAACCTGACCCAACGACACCGCCACGTAAGGTTGCTAGGGATGGTTCTACTAGAAGCCCTGGACAGGTTGCTATTTTTCGTGCAGAGGCGGTTCGAGTACTGCCCGAGGAGCTGCGAGCCGCTCCCATCTTCCATGCCCCTGTGCACCAGTTCCCATGGCGCTCTCAGCAATCTGGCCCTTCCACGGCCTACACCGCGTTTGACCACTCTAGGCACGTGACTGTTAGCCGATGTGCTCCTTTCTCCAGTTTGGCTGAGATAGTTGCACTGTGTATCACAGATGCACCTTTTCAGGTAGTGGCAATTAAGGTTCTGTCTGACCCACTGCCAGGACTTCCGCAGCCTCAAATCGTGCTTTGTGAGGCGGGCCGGCCACCCACCGAGCTGCCTATCCCTTGAGACCTCCGGCCTCTCAATGAGAACATTCGGACCATAAGACACTTCAGCCGCCAAGGACAAATGGATGCACTGACCCTGGCGCAAGCACATGTGCGCTCGGCCAACCTAGTGCAGCAAGTTGCAGATGGCACCCTCGTTGTGACTGACGCCTTGGGAGTGATGCTGCCACAGCTCCCGGCCAACTTGCATGTTGTTCAGCACTACCGGCTGTCTTTCGATGATACTGCAGGCCCTGCCAATCTTGCTCCAGCAGAGACAAGCCGCTCCGCTACCACTACCACAGTCACAGCTGCACGCATTTTGGCAGCTGTGCAGCAGCCACCGGATGTCAGGCTTGTGCTCCTCAGAGGCAGTGTAGCACACAGTATCGAGGTTGGAGGCAGGCTCAACCTGATAGACCCCTTCCTGCACAGACTGATAGAGCGGCACATGCAAGACCGACCTGTCAGCAATGAGTTCTCTCTGGTGCTTGCGCAGGCCCTCCCTCCGCGCCTTGGGTACCTCCAAGAAGTCATTGTCCTCCTTCAGGAGGATCCTGCGGGAAGTGAAATCTGCTGGGATGCGCGCTTCCTTGGGCACTCCCTACAGACCTGTGCACTTAGCCAACATCAGCGCACGCAGCTTCTGCTCAGCCCTGAGTGGCAGGCCGCAGGTTGGGCACTCTCAGTCAATGGAGCACCTGATGTGCACCAGCCCAGGAACTTCTTTTCGGGTGATTTTGTTCAGCCTTTTCAGGGGCTTCACACACCGGCATGCACTCCAACAAGCTGGGCCCTTGAGCTGGCACCGGCACTGCAGCCTTTGTTGTGGCCGCTCCGGCTCTCTGATGGAGTCCGCCATCTATTTCGGGCCCTGCGGCAGCGCAGACAACAGATGGGCACCCACTTCCTTGATGATGGGATCATTCGGATCCTGGGTCCTACCCATGGTCCAGTCCGACTCCGCACAGGGACCCATGCCAAGCCCGATGCAGCAACCCTCCGACATGCTATACAAAGGCTTGCAGGTTTCCCGGCGCAACTGACTTTTG